AATCTGCGGTTTATTTATAAAGATAGCGCCTATTTGAAAATTTGCCATGCCGATTTCGGAACTCCAGGCGATCACTGGGCGCTCAGTGCTCATGTATCCGCCGAGAGCAGCCTTAGCTCGGCTAGTCCTTCTGACATTTGCCGCTGGCTCTGATGTCTCTGTAGTGATTAAACATGAGATACAATTCGTTTTGGGTTGACTGTGTTTAACAGGCATTCGTGGTCTCATGAATCTATTTATTCCTGGTCATATCGTTTTGGCTGAGCACAAAGTTTATATATTTATTTTGAACTTTACCGTAGTACAGCGCTGACTTTGTAGCATACGTTTGACTGAACTGTTTGCTTTTGTCTTTATTTCCTCTTATATAAGCCTCTTATACTTTGTACTTATACTTTTATAATGGCTATTATTGTTCATTAAAACTGACATTTAACAAAAAGAGGCAGAGTTGTGCTTATTGTTGTGGTTCATCGTCGATCGCTACTTTCCGGCATACACCACGCCAGGGCTGCCCAAACTTGGTCCTGGAGTGCCGGTGTCCTGAAGAGTTTAGCTCCAACCCCAATTAAACACACCTGAACCAGCTAATCAAGCTCTTACTAGGCATACTAGAAACTTTAAGGCAGGTGTGTTGAGGCAAGTTGGAGCTAAACTCTGCAGGACACCGGCCCTCCAGGACCGAGTTTGGGCAGCCCTGCACCACGCCTATCAAGAAGGGTACTATTGGCAGTGGAAATGCAAGCCTGATCAGGGTTACCCGTACCGAATCGTACTGTACCGTACCGTACCGCTCAGTGGAAATGAGCCATAAATTAAATTCTAAAAAAACTGTCAGACCAGAGTTGGGCTCTCTTACCTTATTTGACAGGCTAAACACTCGCACCTCTGCATACTCCATTTTCAGAATGGTGTTTTCAATCAGAAACTTGCTGCACAGGTCACTGTAGTAGGTAGAGCGCATCGGGTCCACTTCCTGTGAGAGAGAGAGAGAGAAAAAGGCCAATTAAACTGCCTTCTTTTAAGTGGTGTTTACAAAGCCAAACATCACTATTACTACATTGATATTGATTTCTATTATGGATCTTCATTGAGGTTGTGATAGTATTTTCTCACTTTAAGGGTTTGAAAATGTGCCAGTGTCTCTTTCTCATGGCCTAGAGGATCCAGAGCTCTCATGAGGAGTATGATTGTCAGCAGACACCCTGAAACACACACACACACACACCAGTTTATTTTGCCAAAGATAAGGCAGCAAATACAAATGCAATGTGAAGTATGCATGTACAAAACACACACCCAAAGAAAACACACTGACACACACTTACACTTGTTCTGCGGTTCGAGCTCCAGCAGCTGATTGCAGGACTGAAGCTCTGCCTGTAACACCGAACTTTTCTCAACTGACAACTCACTCCTGCCACAAACACACACACACAAGCAATTGATCTATGTTCTGGTAATAACTTAGTCAACACAATCAAACACTAGTAAGGCATTACTCTCCTCATCACAAGACCTCTTTGACACATGAAACAATTGTGTTGCAAATAACTGGCATAAATCTGATAAGTGATTATTTTACTTGTTGATGTCAGCGACAGTTAAAAGTGTAATACACACATCCACACCTTAAGAAGTCAATTACTCACAAA